CCAATTGTTTATGAGATTTGTACATTAATGGCTGAATCTTACCAGAATTCGAGCGAAGAAGTTTGGATCCAGATTCTCGAGCAGGAGATCTTGTTGTGCGTGAGCGCTTGGATCCCAAAGCATTCATCTGGGCGTTTGTGCCGGAATTTAACACCTTTTCAAGGTCAAAACTACCGAAGGAAATCGATAAATGCTCCTGTTGGAACCTCTCCAGCTGAGTTCTCTCCACAGTAAATTGCCCGAGTTCCTGCAACAACCAAACCAGAATAAAAATAAGAAGAACAAAGTCATAGCTAGCACCGTGCACCTCGTAAATGCGCTCGTAATCAAATTCTTTTTCGAATTTCATTTTCTCTTTGCCTTTCCTCTTGTTATCCACATTATTTTTATCTCTTCCTAAATTGTCACTCGGTTTCTTTGCAGTAGGTTGATCTTTGTAAGCCCCCGTGGTTTCCTTGAAATCTTCTGATGGAATTATCTACAGCCAGACAACACTTAGAAATTTGAGCAATAAATGAACCAGATACCTGGGGACTGCTGCTACACTCTCCATTCCCTTGTGGAGGAATAGGATCTCTTGCAAAAGCCTCTAGTATCCTGCATCCTGTCAGAAGGTCGCCGACTTTCTCTCGACATCTCTCCATAAACTCATCTTTCAAATGCGTTCGTCGCACTAACGGTGGTTCCACAGCTTTGCCTTTATTGACTAATCTTCCAAGATACTTCTTCTGCTTCTTTGACGAAACATCACACACATGATGGTCGCCTGGATCAGACATTTGTGTTAATTTGGTCCCTGAGATAGCGTTGTTATGGTTTGGAATTGAAAATGTCGGTACTTCATCTGGAAGGACGCATTGGATTTCTTTATTTTCGGCACAAGGTTCTTCGTGTAAAAGGCAGCATTGAGTTTCTTTCGCCTGTGCACAAGAGTGTATATGCAAATCATATTGACTCTAGCTTACCGGTCTTTGTTCAGGTGTGCTTGTAATTTCCCTAGAAAGCTCTTCAGTAATTTGAGATTCCGGTCGAGCTTTCACTTCAGACCCATTAACGGGCTTTAAATTTATGCAACCTTTCCTTTTAACAGGGGCGGTGATGTCTGTGAGAGCATGAGATGTTAATGCCGATACAACTTCTTCCAAGTAGGCATGTGCCTCGTTTGTTCCGGACTCGACTATTGTGGATCCAAAAACAAGGCTATTAACAGGTTTCCCTGTGTCTAGTTTCTGCTTATAAAAAATTAGACAGATGCTTAAGAGAGCATGATAAACCCAACCTCAAGAATGTTTTTAATTTTCCCTGTCAACCGTTTTCTTGTGACTGGCTTTATGTATTGTCGACCGGCCTTTTTCAGCGATTCAGTTGGATAGTCAACTATTTTTTCTGGTGATGATACTCCAGTATCTTTAATGTGAACGTTCATAGAGCTCGACGCAAGCACCATCTCTCCAGCAGGGAAACGCACTGAACTACTGCTATTTCCGTCACTTCTTGGCATGGGCTCTCTTGGCGACTTACTCGGGGGCAAAGTTACTCGAGGAATATCTGAGATAACGTCTTCGTTCCTGCATTCCTCAACGAAAACTTGTCCCTGGTTTGCAGTGAATAAAGTAGTGGCAGTTATACGAACTCTTGGAGAAGCTTTGCTGGAATCACCAGCCTCCACATTGCTTTTGCAGTCAGTTGGTACTTTTGATTCAGGAAAGCAGTCCCAGGCTTTGACAGTAGACTTGGACAATTCCTGCTTTGTCTCCTCCAAGCATCCAATAGAATCCCACACCGACTGTTTCTCGTTGCAGCTATCCGAATCAGTGGCGGCAGCATTCTGTGAGAAGTTCGGGGTCCTAATGCTATCGATCTCGTTCTGAAACCTGTGATACTCGGCCCTAAGCTTGTCCAGGCCAAACTCTTTCTTCTTTCTGCAATCGCTAACACAATAATTTTTTTAAAACCAAATTTGCGTAGGCTTACTTCAGCATAATGCATCAGCTCCTTTCGTAAAATAATGGCTGATTGCACTGCGAGGCATGAACAGAAGAAGTTTCTCTTTCTGCACTTTCTGTAACACTCTCCCATTGGTGCAAGAACATCCTGCTAAGAGCCCTAAAGACAAAATGGGCGGGAAAGAGTTTAAGGGGCAAGAAAAACCAGACTATTTTTGTCGTTTCGCAACCGAGCTTGAAACTTGCTAAATCATTTTCAAACTTGAGATTGGCGATATCTATTGGTAATTAAAGAATCTACTAGAAGAGCTTGTGATTTTTTTTTTCATGTTTGACACAGGTTAGCGCAAAAATATCTCTAAATCCTTGCGCATTGCCTGCGATTGTGTTTAGTTATGTAACTTGAGAAGTATACATATATATAGATAAACAATATTCACCTCCAAGTGTTGTTTATCAGATTGATATTTTGCTTCAAGAATTTCAAGTTCTGTAAGAGGGTGCAAAGTCGGTCGTTGGCCCACTGTCAAGTGGTTTCTGTCCGTCTCTTTTGCTTTTGGTTTTGGAACAGTGGATGCAAACTTGAGAGCCTGTACGCTTGTTAGTTGAATGATGAACAATATGAAATGAGACACCTTGTACCTTGGCTCGAGTCGACGGGGGCTTCACTTTTGGTTTTCTTGGTTCCCTGCTTTGATTTGCAACGATGGATCTAGCAGAGCGTCCAAATTCCTTCATCCTTTCAAGGGTTTCACGCTACAAAATAGAAATATAAAAAAGTGAAGGACTGATTGCTTGTCTTGTTCTGCACCTTTGACCGCAGCTCGTCTGTTGAGTCTGGTCCCAGTTTACCGAGCACAACATACCCCAAAGCTTGCTGCCGTTTGTAATCCATCAAAGTGTAAGACTTGAATTGTCTCTGCCATGGACTTCCGTTTGTGGCAAGTGTTAGTAAGGCTAGAAACAAACCTGGCGATTAGGACTCCTAAAGGCAAGCCGCGGATCCTGGGCAGGAGGAAACTGCTTTCCTGTCTTAGCTGACCGCTTTGACATTTCTTTGATTTCCTTCTGTCTTGCTCTCTCGACAGCATTGAGGCTGCTTTTTTTTCTACCACTGCTTGGAGCTTGGGAATCAGAATTGATGCTGTCGTGCTGCTTCCTGAAGCTATCTTGCTCCTCATACATCTTGTGCGGTAGACATTTGTCAATTACATCTGTGTCACTCGAAAAATTGCAGCCAAGCGGTAACTCTGTCATGTGAGGTTGAGAGTAGCTTATGCTGCAATGCAACTCGTTGAAGAAACTGTCATCTTCAGACACGCTATTGTCGATAACCCGGGTTATTGATTGTGTGTTTGGAATTAGTGATGCCTCTGGGTTGTCAAGAACTCCCGTCCATAAATCCTGGACATGGGGTTCCTGCGGCTTGCAACTAAAGAGAGGATGTGATCTCGCAAAGAGATATGACTTACTTTTTACGTGCCAGAAACCAGTACATGCGTTCCAGCAGGGGTCCAATTCCATCCTCGGGTCCACAGTTGACGATATTCTCTATCTCACCAGGAATGACAGGAACCTCCTTTTTCTGCAAATGGGCACGGTCATTGGGGTCACACGGATCCTTTAAATGCTACCCGAAAAAAATTTTCAAGCTGCGCCCAGTTATCTTTCTTCTTTGCTAGCCTTGTTCCATTGTCAAACGAGTGCATCTGAATGTCCTGCGGATAGTACTGGGAGAAAATTTCGGCGACCAAGAAGCCATTAGAAAAGTCCCTGAAATGAAAGTAAGAATCAACAGCTCTCTATCAAAACGATTGTTACCTGCGAACGTTTTTGATAGGCTGTGATAGGTTGAGCGTAATGAGCCATCGCAAAACATCACGTCGTAGAGCAGGGAAGCCCCGCATCGCCTCTGGCCCAGCGGTTGCCACATGACGCTAAACCCTATTTGAGTATATAATAAAATACTATAGATTGAATTGGACTCTCATCCCAATCGTGCGCAATCTTGAGCCATGCAAAAGTGGATTCCAATAGATTGTCTAAGGCAGGAACAGTGATCCTAAAATATGGACCTTTTTGACCTTTTGATGCTCATACTAAAAAAGAAATTAATAAAAGTTATAGCTTGAGAAGTTGGCTGTTCTTTTGCATCCTTTGCAGCCGTAGTACCTCTTCTCAACTTCAAGCTCCAGAAAAGTGAGAAGAGGTAGTTGTGGCTTGTTGGTGGCCCAAGAGGTTGTTTAAGCAGTAGATTTTCTTGTTGCTAAAATAAGAATTGTCAGACTTCTTAAGATGGATCATTCTATGTGGGTGGAAAGAGTGTGGGAAGAGGCTATATTCTTTTTTATGTAGTTTATGTCTTATCTTCTTTTTTAAGAGGTTGTCTCTTGATGGCCTTTCCCTTTGAAACTTGTCATGCCATCAAGAACTTCAAAGAAAACCTTGTTGGGCCAAAAGACAATTGTTGGATGAATGAAAGACTGTTTCTATCACCAAAATTGTATGTGTCAAGTGACCAATGGTTTCATTTTTTCTAATACTTCATTTTTCTGCTTGGTAGAATGGACATGAGACTAGAGAACTAGACAAGAAGCTTTTTGGCCGGCCGCATGAAACATTTTACTGGGAAAGCTCAAAGTTGCTCTTTCTTTGTACATCTCTAACAAGAACAGTGTTCGGAGTGTCATGGCGTGAAATGAACGACTGTGTACGATACAACATTCCAAGATAATCTGGCAGAATTAAGCGGATTTGCTAACACATTTCGGATTACTATGGGTCATGAGACCAGAGCTCCACTTTGGAAATGTTATCGAGTTATTGAGCTCTTAACTTGCATCTGGCTGAGAAGGATGCTGAAGGGATAGGTGAGTAGTATTGAGTTATACTCAAGAGTTTCTTATAGATCAAAATCAATGGGGATATTGTTAGTTAATCAGGTATGGTTTTCTTACTGTCTAGCCGGTGTGAGGTTTCCTTGGAAAAACCGACCATTCCGTTTGTTTGAAAGGACTCTGTCCGTTGTTCATCCGGAACGAGGCCAAGGAGAAAATGGGAGGAGGAAACAAGTGGCATTCCTGTGTCGGAGACATCAAGTCTCACGCTGGTTTTGGCTGGATGTGAGCATCTCTCTCTCTCTCTCTCTCTCTCTAATTCTCTATTTTTAATGGTTAGGCTCGGGAGGAAAACTATATTGAACACTTATCCTAGCTTGAGTTGTTCACAAGACTCCATATCTGGAGCAGCTATAATGGCCCTCGCCCCAACTGGTGGAAGAAATGGATGCATCCCACTGCCAGGCTGATGGGAGAGCCTACTCGTTTACCACCCAAGTTGTTCTTGACCTATGTTTTAAAAGATAGGTGTCTCATGATGGGCTTCCCCTAGGTGTCTACTACCGTCTCTACAAGCACTAAGGGTAGCTCAAGTATACTGGTGAGTATCTTGTAGTGCTGCTTGAAGAATGGAGGTGCCTACTTGACTTGTGATCTTGTAGTTTTCTTTTGCTCGTTTAACTGTCACTTCTTCTTGGTTTCAGGTACAATCGAGTGGGTTTTTACAAGGCGTTTCTGTTCTGGCAGCCCACCGTCCTGGCTGCCACACCAGAGGTATGCAAATTCGTGCTCTCCAAAGACAGCTTTGAGACTGGATGGCCGGAGAGCGCTGTTGCGCTCATGGGACGAAATTTGTTTGCGGGATTAACTGGAGGGAGCCACATGAAGCTCCGGAAGTTTACCAAGCACGCTGTGAACAATCCCAAAGCTCTCAAGCAGTATGTTCCCCTCATCGTCAACAACATAAATGCCTTGCAAGTTGATCTACACAGTACATGATCATTCTTCTTACCGAGATGAGAAGGGTAAGCGATACATCCTCTTTGCCTTAGTTTTCTTGTTGATACTGGTTTTTCTGATATGACAGTTCAAGTTTCTAACTGTCCTCTACCTTTATATGGGAAAGACTCCAGTCTCGACGGGAATGAAACTTTCTCCTTGTACTACATTGTCAACCAAGGCATTCAGGCTCTCTCCATCAACTTCCCCGGCACTGCCTACAACAAAGCCTTGAAGGTAAAAGCCATACGCATTGTCCTACACAGCTTTGTGATGTTTTTCCCATTTTCAGGTGAGGTGAAAGCTCATCAAGCTTATCCAGGACGTGATCAACCAGTGAAGAGCTTCTGGAAAGCCGTAGAAAACAAGAATTCTTTTGTTGCTCATTGATCAGCTGGATGACAAAGGAGAGGCTCTGGAAAACGCTCAAATCATAGACGTGCTCAACATGTACATGAACGCTGGTCACGACTCGACAGCTCATGTCATCATGTGGCTGATGATTTCTTAAAGAAAGATCCTGATGTGCTCGAGAAAGTAAAGGTAAACCTTTGCAGTTTCATACAAACTTTCCTTCATATAATTTTTCTTCATGAGGCTGAGCAAAATGACATTGCTAAAAGCATTTCAGAAGGGAAATGCTCAACCTTTTAGACATCAAAAGCATGTGCTACCTATCTAGTGTCAGTGCTGGCCATTTTCCCCTATTTTCATGCCTGAATTTGTCTTTTCTTTTTGCAGGTTGCCGATTAAACACTAGAAGAGCCTGGGTAGCGTTGAGTTTAATGGTGAGTGTGCATCTTCTTTCAAGTGATTTTCAAGTGATTTGGCATGCGGAAGGACAAGTACACATGGATCCAAACGTCCACCCAGACCCAGAAAAGTTTGATCTAGAGTGCTGCGAGGTACAAAATTCTCAGCCATTCTCTGTAACTCTAGCTGGGGTTTTTCACTAGAAATATGGAACATCTCCATCACGTTCATACCCTTTGGGATTGAAAATCGGACTTGTCCTGGTAACGAGCTTGCCAAACTTTAATTCAAATCTTCAATGTCATCCATTACTTCATTACTGGCTACAGGTAAAGATCTATTATTTGTGCTATTATTACTTTATCTGGGCTTGTAACTGGACTGCATTGGATCCCAACAGCAAAGTTTCTTATTAGCCACATCCAGGAGACTTCTATTCTGTAAGAGTTTCAAAACTTCTGTAATTATAAAGAAAAAAGTAATTTACTGAAATGTACAAGATGATACCCTATGTATTCTTATGCCTCCACTATTCTAATTCGTCTCCATCACTTCTGCATCTGGAAGGAAACACTATTTATGTGTTTGATGAAAACTTTGAATTTATGTTTACCCTTTGCTCGGACGGATCTATGATAACATGTTCAAGATAGACTCAAGCAGGTATTTAGAAGTGAACATCATCTCTTTAAGGGCAATATATGAGGTGCTTGTGAGGCTCTCAAGTATTAATCTCCTCTTAAGGATATCCTTCAATAGTGAGAAAAAAACCTTTTAAATATAAATGGAACTTTTTTTCTGCTTCTTTCATGTTTGATGGTAGTCAACTTATGAGAAATTAAAGCTTCTGGAATTCTACAAGCAGTGTGTAAGGATTGTCCAGGGAATGAGAAACTGTAAGGTGTAGTATGATATTTTCTTGATAGTAGTACATAGTACTGCCTGTTGTAGCCTTTGTGGCTTTGCTCGACTACAGCACAATGCTTACAAGGTTGGAATGACATAAGTAGAGATTTTCTAATAGATGTCAGTCTGTTGCCACTTCACTCTCAAACAATGATATCAGATAAACGAGTCACCCAAGACAAAATCTGGAAGAAGAATAGAATTGGATTCGTCACTTTTGCAAATACCCACACAGACATGTATCCTCGCAAGAGGAAGTGATCTAATATCAATTGCCTCACACTAAACTAGGTGAGGCAAAACTTCTATTAGATATAAATTCGGGAGCTTCCTTCAAATGGCTTGTGGTGGGAGCGAGCATAGAAACATGAGTTTGGGCCACAGAGGTCACCATTTCAATCTTATTATTAAATGGTCCTTAACAAATGTGTTGCAGAACAAACACACTGACATTACAAATTCATGCAAATAATAGTGATCTGGATATCCTACAATACAATGTCCCTTTTCAATAGTCCAAACTGGCACATTATTGCATAGAAGAAGCTGAGACCTTGTATTGCTGAATAGTGAATTTTAAATATTGAAAAAGAAATTTAGGTTTTTAGTTAAAAACAATATAATGGATTTGGTATTTGAAGCAAAAAAAAAAAGAAGAGAGGTTCTACTCTTTTGAAATACAAATTAGTATTAATATCAGAAAGTAATTTTTTTCCTGATACTTAGAGAAATCTTTGGTGATATGTATATCCAAATATGCAATTCTTGAGAATATCACAAAAATATCATTATCTTTTGAGAATCTTTAGAAGTAAGAATATTTTTCTAAATCATTTTTAGTCTTCAGAGAAGAGTTTTCTACAACATCCATCTTAAAATTAACATAAATTCCAGCTGTAAATATGTGAAATAAATGTTTCTTTTTTAATTTTCTTTGGAAAATATTTTCTACATTTTGTACTATATGTTGATAATGGTATTATGATACACTATAAAATTATTAAATATTATTTTATTATTCATGTACATAGTTATATGTTAGATCTAAGTTTTATTTTTATTATTATGTTCTTTATAATCTAAGTCTAATTTATAATACAAGAGAATGAAAACTTAGAGAGGATAAATGCATAAATAACACTTTATTCACAATTGATAAGCTTGATGCAACAATGTATATTCTTTTAAAATAAAAATACCAAAATTATAAAATATCTTTTATTATATATAAATAACGTGCTTTTATTATATGAATACAGTACCACATGAAAGATATAATAATGTTATTATGTATATGGTAATGTGCTGGATCTAAGTTCATAATTACAATATTAATCTTCTTATAATCTAAGAAATTTATAATCATATTGTCCATTAGATAATTTCTGAATAGTAAGTACTGGTTAATCATTTAAGAGTAATATTTATTTTAAATTGAAATTTTCTAGATTTTTAGCTGAATATGATTTTAAAATCCTTTGGCTAGAGACAATATTGTATAAAATTGTTAAAGGTTTTAAAATTTCTAAAATATTTTGAAATCATAACTTTCATATATAGCTTACTACCATTATATTACCTAATGATAATCCTGGTTAAGCATTTTTTTTAAATTTTTTAACTTTATTCCTACTAGTCTAGATATTTAATTTGGAGCTGTTGTACTACTTTTTAGCATAAATTACTTTATTGAAAACTTCATATAAACAAAGGTATTTTTATTATCTTAAAATTTCCTTCCACTTATTTAAGTTTTTCTTTCTCAAGTATTTTGTCCCTTCATTATTTAATTTTCATAACAGTTATCTTATATATAATAAGTTACAAAATGTCTTATGCACGATTGATATAGTAGTAAATTATGTTCTGATTAGAAAGGGTTTAGAGGTGTATTAATATTTTATAATTTATAAATCATCTAATATAATTTGTTTTTAAAAAGTTTATTTTCTATCTTTCCCAGTAGAGTTGTATCATTGTCACAAATGTGACACATAGTTGTGCTCTATTTGGAAACCATTAAGAAACTTCAAGTATTGTCTATCAAGTATTTATTACCTTTCACTAATCAAACTTCAGGTTTACTATCAGCAAAACAGTGATAAAATATTATCTAACATAAATACTCTTAAATAACTTATAAAGTTAATTAATAAGCTTTTTATGTATAGTATTATATTGTATCATAGTGTTCCAGCTCTCAGTCTCACTAAAGTGATTAAACCAGGAGTAATAAATTTTTCATGATTTATCATTACAAAGTATTATTTCTACATTGGCCTTGAAGGTTGTTTATCTATGATATAAGAACAAAAACCTTTTAGTACACAAGAAGAAAGGTACACAAACTACTTACTTTATGTAAATACACCACTAAAGCAAAAGTTTGACAGAAGTAATAAAGGATAGTTATTCATTTATGTATACAAATGTATGAAGAATCTGATGGTTCTCATGCACCATATAACTATAGCTCACATCTTGCTTTTGAAGTATTGCCTATTT